TTTCTTTCTTTCTTTCTTTCTTTCTTTCTTTCTTTCTTTCTTTCTTTCTTTCTTTCTTTCTTTCTTTCCTTCCTTCCTTCCTTCCCTCCCTCCTTTCCTTCTTTCTTTCCCTCCCTCCCTTCTTTCCTTCTTTCTTTTCCTTCCTCTTTTTTCTTTCTGTCCTTCCTTCTTTCTTTCCCTCCCTCTGCTTTTTTCTTGTTTCCTTCCTTCCTTCTTTTCCTTCCTTCCTTCTTTCCTTTTCTTCCTTGTTTCCTTTCTTCTTTCTTTTCTTTCCTTCCTTCCTCTTTCTTTCTCTTTTTCCTTCCTTCCTTCTTTTTCTCCCTCCATTCTTTTCTTGTTTCCTTCCTTCCTTTCTTCCTTCCTTCCTTCCTTTCTTCCTTCCTCTTTCTTTCTCTTTTCCTTCCTTCCTTCTTTTTTCTTCCTTCCTTCCTTCTTTCTTTCCTTCCTTCCTTCTTTCTTTTCCTTCCTTCCTTGTTTCCTTCCTTCTTTCTTTTCTTTCCTTCCTTCCTCTGTCCTTTTTTCCTTCCTTCTTTCCCTCCCTCCCTCCATTCTTTTCTTGTTTCCTTCCTTCTTTCTTTTCCTTCCTTCTTTCTTTGTTTTTACTTTCTTTCCTTTTCTTTCTTCCTTCCTTCCTTCCTTCCTTCCATCTTCCTTCCTTCCTTCCTTCCTTCCTTCCTTCCTTCCTTCCTTCCTTCCTTCCTTCCTTCCTTCCTTCCTTCCTTCCTTCCTTCACATTTTTGAACCACCCATCTCCTTCAAAGAGCGACTCTGGGCAGTGCACAATAAATAAATAAATAGATTTAACGTAAACCAACCGTCTCAAGGTTGTTTGACATTCCTTACACCGGTTATGGGATTTGCATTTGCCAGTTCCCTGTAAATCATCCATGTTTCGGCTTTCAAGAATGAATTGAAGGCGCAGCTGTTTTGCCATAGCTGGCACCCAGGAGGTGCCTATGCCATTTTTTAAATAGCAATAGTTATTAGACTTATATGGGCTTCACTGTGCTTTGCAGCCCTCTCTCAGCAGTTTACAGAGTAAGCCTATGGCCCCCAACAATCTAGGTCCTCATTTTACCCACCTCGGAAGGATGGAAGGCTGAGTCGACCTTGAGCCGCTCAGAAATAAATTCCTGGAGTGAGCAGTGAGTTAGTCCGTAGTACTGCATTCTAACCACTAGCGCACGATGGATGGAGGGAGGGATGGATAGGAAGGAAGGAAGGAAGGAAGGAAGGAAGGAAGGAAGGAAGGAAGG